CGAGGAAAAGGAGGCCCTAAGCGCAAGGACCTCAGCGATAAGACCCCAATGGGTGGGTTCCGCACATCGCTTAGGGGTTTAGGGGTTAGGGTTTAGGGTTTAGGGTTTAGGATTTGGGGTTTACGATTTAGGGTTTGGGGTTTATGTTTGGGGGTTTAGGTACGAGGGTTTGGGGTTAAGGATCGGACTGAGGATTTGAAGTTTTGAATTTAGGGCTTAGGACTTGGGATTTCGGACTTAGGATTCAGGGCTAGGGCTTCGGGGTTTGCATAGGGGGGCTTCGGTGTGGGTTTTAGGTCTCAGCATGTTTGGGCTTTACGGTTCAAGGTCTTGGGTTTGAGGGTGTGGAGTGTTTTAGCCTGATGGTGACTTGCGCGTTGAACATTCAGGACGATGGCTAATGCTAGAAGTCTGAAGAATTTCTCCCTTACAAGCCGTAAATACTTTAAATGATTATGGTACAAGACGCCCCCAAATCCTAAACCCTAAGCCGTAATTTGCGCTTGCTTTCTTGGGTCGAGCCGGCAGCATACTGATCTTTGGCCACCACCGCCGGTTGCGGGAGAGCTTAGTGAAGCCTCAGCATAGGGGCTATATGGGGGATGTATGGGGTTTAGGTTCAGGGATGGAATAGTGGAGAATCAGGTGGAAAAGAAAATCGAACATGAACATGGCCCTCAGCTTATGTAAGGCCATTCCAGTTCTCTAGGCCGCTGCAGTAACCACGCTGAGCCCAAGACCCTAAACCTAAACCTTAGGAGCCCAAACTTTGTTTTATCATGAGGATGCCCTCTCGGACGGTGGCACTGCGCTCAGGCTGGGGACCCAGACCGGCTGTGAAGTTCCTGCAATTCGGATACTGCCCCCACTTTGTAACAGTTGGATAATATTCATAGCGTAGTTTTTTACAAAGGCCTAATCAGTAGCTCTATTATACGCTGCTATTGGGTGGGGCAGTATCCAAGGTATGCAAGAATACCATGTTTCCGAATGTATGAGGTACTTAGGGTAACGCAGGATTTTTAGTATACGCTGCGCCCCCCGGCGGTTTTACTGCCAAAACATCTTCCAGCTCATGGAAGTAGTAGCCGTTGATGCGTGCTACCTTCAAGGATTTAACAGGGAATAGGGTTTAGGGTTACACATGCTTCCATGCCATAAGCACTCACAATGGGTCAATTGGTTTTGTTACCCAGGGTCCCCAGGAGTTGTTCCTAGCTCAACAAGCCTGCCGCTGACTTTTACTTCTTGTTTCATGTGTTGGGTTTGGGGTTTAGGATTTAGGGTTTAGGGTTTAGAGTTTAGGGCCGGACAAACGTCGTTCACACCCCGCCCAAACCTTCCGGCAGGAACCCTATACAATTTCTGTAAACACTTGCTAAACACTAACTGCCAAAGGGATTATAGGGTCTATATTGGGGTCATATGGGGATAATGGAAAAGAAAATGGAAACTACTGTACGAGGGTTTAGGCCCTAAACCCTAATAGTGGTTTCCATTTTCTTTTCCATTCTCCCTTATAAGTTTAGGGTCAGGGCTCTCAGCCCCACCCTTCACCCTTGACCCGAAAGCCCAAAGACCCTAAACCCTAAATCCTAAACCCTAAGCCCTAAGCCCTAAACCCTAAAGAAGAAAAAAAACCCTAAACAGGAAGCCTTAAACAGGAAGGAAGCACCGAGGTCCGAGCCACCGAGATTAATTCCTCGGCTCAAACGGTACCCAAGAATTAGGGCTTCCCTATTGGATAGTTTAGTGCAGGGTTTAGGGTTTAGGGTTTAGGGCTTAGGGTTTAGGGTAGTGTAGGGAGATACCTAAGAATTAGGGCTTCCCTATTGGATAGTGAAGTAGGGTTTCCCGAAATTAGGGGTACCTTTTAGGGGCCCCAAAAAAGGATGAAAGAATTTTAGGGTCTATATTGGGGTCCCCTTATTTAGGGAAACTACCAAGTGTAGGGAGATACCTAGGATGAGGACTATAGCATATGGGAGTTTGTGGTGAGGTTTTCTATTTATGGAAAACTAACTCCCAAACCTTAAGCTCCAGACTTCAATGCCAGTTCCTTCACATAGTGCCACGGAAAAATGAAAGCCACCCTGCATAATGCAAGATACTGAGAAGCCATTACCTGCACTAATTGCCAGTCCTTATGAGCAGCTGGTTCAAGGCACATCCAACCGGCTATGACCCTAGCTAATGATCTGTAGGGTTTCGGGTTTAGGGTTTATATGCGCCCCTCGATGCACCATCAAACAACAACCTTGAACCCTCGAAAGAACCCATGACTGCACTTTCAATTGCCTGGGTTCCCCTGTGTGCATATCTAAAGCTTCAGAACTTCCAAAAGGAAGCCCACAACGTTTTAAAGCGCCCTGAACACCGAATTCACAACCCCTCAAGCCTAACCTTAAACCTTAAACCCTACACCTGGCTCAAACCTCAAGCCTAGAAGCCTAGAACTCAAACCTTGAAGCTTAAACCTGCCTAAAACCTAAACCTTAGAAGCCTAGAACTCAAAGCCTAACCTCAACCCCCCCAACAGACTGGCACCCCTAGCTAGCTGCTGGCTTGCGCACAGAAAGAGCGTTCGGGGGTGCTAGAAAAAATAGACGCACAAAAAAACAACCACTGTAGGTAGCCAGCTAATTGCAGTACCAATATCATGGTCCTAGGTTTCATACAGAACCATGGTATAGGATACCCCAAAGAGACCTCAACGTGATATTGGTAATTTGTCAGACCCCTTCGTCATAGAAGCCCCTTGTATAACCCTTCTAATTTAACCCCTGTTCTCATTTAGTCGCGGCAGTTTCGTGTCCATCAGTTTGTTATTTGTTTGGTGATGATTTACTCCCCTAGCCCCTACACTTTAGAACCCCAGATCCTGACCTCTAAACACTGAACCCCAAGCCCTAAATCCTAGCCCTAAAGCTTAAGTCTAAGCCCTACAGTTAAGCAACCTCGAGGATGGCAGCTCGCAAGGGCCACGCAGAGATCGTGCGCTTGCTGCTACGGGCCGGTGCGGACAGGAACGGAAGGGACTAGAGCTTTGCCTTCAGGGTTGAGGGTTTAGGGTTTAGGGCTGGGGTTGAGGTTTAGAGTTTAGGACTTCGGTGTGTGCATCGCGGTGGGTGTGCTCGGGAGCGCCCTCCCCTCGCGCGCTCGCAAAGCTAGAGCTCCTCAACCGCTCTGACTATTGACAATGAGGGTCGGTGAAGTTTGTAACTTCATGTTGTGCGCGTAAAAATCAGGATCCTGTATATGAGGATTTCCAAGGCTAGGGGCCCCAACATAGACCCCAGGAGGTACAATCCTTGGTATAGAACCCCCCGCAAGGACCCCCAAATACCAGGTGGGGGCACAACCCTCAGCAATGAACCTTTGAACCGCCTGACATCGTAAACCTTAAGCCCTAACCGTCGAACCCTAAACTTGGAGGTTCGGGGTAGGGAAAACGTACGCGTGACTGCACTTACAATTGCTTTAGAAGCCCCCTAAGTGCTCCAATAGGGTCAGAACCGGTTACAGTTCCACCTGGGTTGTAAGCATCGTGAACGTCCATCTGCAACCCTTCATCCTGAACGCTGCGGAGGAACAAGCCGTGTCTCGAGGGCACACATCGCACACCCCTGGAAGCGGCAGCATTCTATGGGCGTGCAGAGGTGAGTGCATGTAGGCTTTGGGGTTTACGGGCTTAGGGTTCAGGGTTTCGTGGTTTAGGGTTTAGGGGATGTAAGGCTTAGAGGTTAAGAATCAAAAGGTGTAGGGTTGGGGGAGAGCCTAAAACTTCAACCCTAAACCTTCAACCATAAACCATACACCCTAAACCTTCAACCGTAAACCCTAAACTTGAGATCTGAGGATGGCTCAGGGATTTGCAGGTCCTTGGAGGTTGACGGTAACCATAGTCAAGATTTTACTCGGTACTCGTAACTTAGGTCAATCCCCCCTACAGGAAAAGCCCTTCAATACTGAGTTAACAGGGCCTTAACATACCTACAACAGTCCCTTGTCGTACCCATTGCTGGGTTGGGGATTGACTCGACTAATAACGAGAAGAAAAACGCGTTAGGGGACTTGGGTGGCTGAAACTTGGGTTGTACGTACAGTTCTGATTACGTTCTGGTTACTCTGGACCTCCAAGTGGGCTGTTGAGGCTTCAGTGGTTGGTATCTTAGTTGGGGCCAGAAGGCCTTACTCACGCACACAACAAAGTCTCTGCCGCAATCCCTCTGCAATCCGAGGCCCCAATCCACTCACTGAAGCCTAGCAATTAAAGTTGATGTTGAAAGGTCCTACGGGACGATGTGAGACCAAACTCCTATAAGCTTCAGAGTATGAGGTACTTTAGGGCCGTGCAGGAGTTTCAGTTCCACTGTACCCTAAACCCCTGAACCCTAAGCCCGTAAACCCTAAACCGCCCATCCAAGCCCTTGCAAGACCGGTCTTCAGGCGTACAACTTGCTGTCTGGCGAGGAGTGAAGCTGGCGTGAGCCGAGCCCTCCCCAAGCCATAGTCCCCCTCAAGCAGATACAATATAGGGTTTAGGGTTATAGTCCCCCTTAAGTAGATCGAATATGGGGTATATGAGTCTCTTCTTCCAATATACCCCAAGCCACATTCTATCTACTTAAGGAAATTATAACATGAACAGCCATAACATTGATAATCTTCTCACCCTAAGTACCTGTACCTGTATAGCTTAGAAGGTGAAGTGCGCACAAAGGTACGAAGGTTATGCAGATATTTCCATTATCGAAAGTAGAACACCTTCTTGGAGCGAACTGTGGCACTTGTTAGGGTTCTATGCTAGTTCCGTGAGGGTATGTGGGACGCAAGCTGCATGTGAACCAGGGTCTTTCAAAATCACTGCCCCTGGGGTTCCCACATGTTCCCGTTTTAGTTCACGTTGGAGCCTGCGCTTGTGCCGATGTACAGTATCTGGGCGCAGGCAGTAAGGGCGGAGCGACAGCTGCATTTCAAGCAGAAAGAAACTTACTGCTTCTCATTAGGGAAAATGGAAATAGAATCTCTAGGAAATTTATTCCCCACTAAGAACCAGTAAGGAAAGGGATGCTGCAGTTGACATTGCTCGGCTTCTGTAATGTGGAAGCACGGTTTCAAATCGCTACACTTGTTGTTTTCATCAGCGCCATGTGCCATGTGTGCTAGATTTATTCCTGCACACCCGCACTCAGGAGCGTGGGGGAGATATTGTATCACTTGCCTCGCACGGAGGAACCCAACACAAACTCTGGTGCACCCACACCCTCCAATTATACAAGCTCAGCTGTGTCTGCGACATCGGTGCCACTACACCAAGCCCAACACTCTGTTATTCGATCCTCTTACTACTGTTGCTTACTGCTAATACTATTGCTGTTCCAATTATCACGATCATTGCCATCATAAATTTTGAATTATTACTAGTATTCCTACACCATATCTAGTATTACTATTTTTCTTATTTCACTATCCTTGGTACGAAAATTTTGATTATTAATATTGCCATTGTCTTATTCTTAGTAATAGTAGCATTACTGTTATTACTATCATCACTACTGTTATCACTACTTTTCTTGCATACCAGCAGTTGGTACACTTCCGAACCTTAGGGCTCATGCCGGGCACTCCACACCCTAAAGCCTAGAGGGACCGGCCCCAGGCACCAAGTCGTCCCACATCCCAAACCTCAAGCCAGAACCCTAGAGAGCCTGGGACTTTCACATTTGTGTTCTTAGTATTGGGATGATGGAAAGTCAACAGCAAAGCAACATGGGAAACGAAATGGAAACTGGGACGAGATAGCACATGGTTTATACTTCTAAACTCCTAGTTTCCCCTTTATATCCCCAATAGAATCCGCTATATAACCCCCCTTCAAGGAGGTTAGACTATGGTTCATAGATCCCCACAGAATCTGTGTGAACCCCGGCCTCGTCCATTTTGTTTAGGGAGGGGCCCTGACCTCAATCCCGAACGCCTACTGCATCGACATGGGGGTTTGGGTGTAATTCACGTAGGGGTATACAGCTTCCAAACCCAAGCCCTAAACCCAAAACCAATTCCCAGGGGAGGGGGAGGAACCCCCTAAACCCTAAAGCAACCCCAAACCCTAAACTCCTAGGAATGGCGCATCTGTACACCTTGGTGAACCAGGGCCAGCAAAAGCTGGACAGCTGTCAGGACCATCCTTGGGAATTGCTTTAATGTTTGGGTTTCTAGAGTTATGATGGTATATTCATAGGGGTTAGGGTTTAGGGTTGGGGTTTAGGGTATGTATGTGTGTGGTGCTTTGTTCCCATACTGGAGATTACATCGGAAATACCATTCAACATGAAGTGGAAAACAACATGAAACATGTGAGCATATAGTGGATCGTCATGTGAGTGCTCCTCAAAACAGGCATAACGTTTGGAATTCTGGGGGTATGCGTGTGTCTGAACAAATAGGTGTCTTTTTTTGGGGAGTCCCAAAGGATGTAGACCCTTATTCCACGAGGAGCTGCAGAAACCCATCCCTGCTGTAATGCGCTGCAAGCCATCAAGAACTTAAAGCCAGGCAATGTTTGTCATAAGGCGGGTTACCCTAACCCCTAATTAAACCCTAAACAGACCGACTTGACGTTCCTAAGTCCTCTAAAGACCTAAATCTCGAACATTCGTGAACCCTAACCGCTGAATCCAAAATCCCCAGCCCTGAACCTTCGAGCGCTCAACCCGAAACCATAAGTACACACGTTCAGGTCGGTGGAGGGAAAGACCCAAAACTCCTTATCCTAAACTCGTCTGAAACCTTTGATTAACCTTGGGTCCTGCCCCCACCCAGCAACAGTTGGATGCGGCTGTTAATGCTTGGGGGCAGGACCCAAGATGAACCCTAACTCTCACGTCTATTGCTCTGCAGGACGAGTTGAAGAAGGCTGAGGAAGATTCAGAGGTCTTCGCCTCTCAGAGTTGATTTCGGAAGCCCTACTTGGCTTGAGGTTGGGGTCTTCTAGGCTCAGGGTGTAGGGTTTGGAGCTTTGGGATTTAAGGTTTAGGGTTCATAGTTTAAGGTTGTGTGCTGTTTTTGTTCAGATGCTTAATTTTTTGGCGGTTGTGGCTGAAAGGTTGGGTGTATCACTTGGAGGGCCAGAAGGACTTAATAGGAAGTATATTCATAACCATTATAAGCATATTATGATATAGTAGCCCTAGTTAATATTAACCAAGTTACTAAGTCCCCTTCGACCCTCCGAGTAGGATTTGGGTGGCAGTAGTTGCTGACTCGTCTGGTGTAGTTGCAGCTTTTTTTTTCTGCTGGGATAGTTGGAGAACTAGTGGGAGGGTACTTGAAACCACGTATAGAAATCCTACAAGGACCTCCCGGTGAGCTTCCTTGACTTCAGTAGAATACAGATGCACATGCTTTTGTTCCTGCTGCCGTACATGCTGCGCCCTACCATTATAAACAGAAGCTTCCGCCCCTAAACCCTATACCCTAAACCCTAAACCCTGTAAGGAGTCCGTCAGGCCAACCTAGGAGCTTCCAATGTAGACTTCTCTTCAGGATCTCGCAGTTCGAGTTTAGGATCAAGGTGTCAGGTAAAAGTATCCACGTAACTGGCAATAAGCCTCCTGGGCCCTAAATCCTGCACCGTTTCCGAGAAATCTCTTGCCCGGCAAAATCGTACAAGACCTTAATAATCCCAACATGAAGATTGCTCAGCCCCCCGGCCAATGAGGAATCTAGAGGAACATAGGTATCAGTATGCTGGGTCTGTTCAGGAGCTGGCGTTGATTTAGCACAATCTGGGTATATAGTAGATACTAGGTTTCCTTACTATTTTGACTTACTTCAAGTTCCGTAACAGCAGCCCAGTACAGGGCATAAGTATGCCGGGAGTACTAGAGGGATGCACTAGTGTATATGAAATCCTGATGTGGTACGCCGCTTGAAAGCGCTGACGGGTTGTTCGACGGTGATGGATGTGGCACAGCACCCAGGCGCACAAGTTAAGGGAGAAGCTGCGGATGGAGCTACTTGGATGGTGGCGATCATTGGGCATAGGATATGAGAGTTTGGTTTAGGTCTTAGGCAGTGGTTCTGACGTTTGGACTTGGGTTATTGTCAAAACTATGGGCCTCTTTCGGCCATAGATTATATCACGGCACCCAAAATTTAGGGGTACCAAAACGGGACCGTAGTTCTTGGAATTACCAATTTAGAGCTACTTGTATCTGTGGATGCTGACACGGGACCTGGGGCCGTCTTGTTCGCTTGGACTTCCGTGAATGAAAGCTGAGGTTCTACTAAGCGTCATCTAGTAGGCATGCCCCGTCCGTTGAAGGGATCTGCAAAGGGTGGGGGACCCCCTAATATGGAGCCCAAAATATTCTTTGCCCTATGATAGGGCCCCCAGAGGGTGTTCCAAAACTTCTTCCAAAATTGCAAAATAGCAGGTTGCAAGCCTGAACAGCCCGAAGCTATATTTCAGGTTTAGGGGTTACTCATGAGACCATGATGTACATTAACGGGAGACTTATCATTATACTGTTGTACAACAATGTGTGCATGCCGTTCGACACTTATATGGTTGTGCAGTACCATGCCATTATGGTGTTATACTGCTATCCTATTGTACTCAAATGTGCCCAGGCCCTGACTCCTAAACCTCAGACAATAAATCCTAAACCCTAACCCTAAACCCTAAACCTTAGACCCTAAGTCCTAAGCCCTAAATCCTACTATGGGGGTCCCCAAGGAGGGAACCCCCAGGGGGGGATTGAATACTACTATGAACAAAACGGGTGCCCTTTCGAACCCCTAAATGGAAATTCCCCACAACGAAGGGTAGCATTTTGGGGGTCCCTATAGCAAGGACTATAGTAACCCTTAGCCGCAAACCCTGAACCCTAAAGTATATTGGGGTCTACTTTATTTAGGGAACTACCATACAACATCCTTTTGATTATAGAGCCTCCCCTGAAAGGCAACCCCGATTTGCAAGGGTTTAGGGTTTGGGGTTAAGGGTGTAGAATTTGGGATCAAGGGTGTAGGGTTGGGGGTTTAGGGTTAGGGTTTGGGGTTTAGGACTTCAGGGTATAGGGTTTGGCGGTTTAGCTCAGGGTTGGGGATTTAGGGGTTCCACTTGATACAGAGTGTGCGACAGGCGGAGGGTCGGGCTAGGATCGAGGATTCAGAGGTGTACGGTAGAAGCTTTTAAGCAATTACCAAGGTTGTGGTCCTAGATGTCTTGTCTGATTATGTTACAGGGTGCCTCAATTCAAACAGACGAACATCAACAAAATAAGCGGACATCAATAAATCAATACACGAGCATCAGAAAAAAGCGACAAGATGCTACAGTCTACAGTACTTGGGGGCGGGAAAGGCTGCAGATAGGGTAGCACACAGCATTTTTAGCTTCGCGGCATCAGCAAAAACTGTGATTTCTTATACCTCCTGACTTCTTGGCTCACTCTCTTCTTGGCTGGCTG